AAAGTAAGGATCTCGTAGTCGGTCGTGGCATCGATCATGCGATCGATGTTAGGCAGTGGAAAAGAATCTTTGGGGAACGCCTTGTTTAAATCCTTATAATCTACACACATTCTAAGTTTGTTCCCTTTTTTAGGGACTACAACTATATTGGCTAACCATTCGGGATATTTTACCTCCCGAATGGACCCTATCTTGAGAAGTTTAGTTACCTCGTCCTTTATGAATGCATGTATTACCTCATACTGGGGTCTTCTCTTTTGCTTCATCGGCTTGAACTTAGGGCCCAGGCTTAGCCGATGCGTCATTATCTCCGGTGGGATCCCTGTCATGTCTAAATGGGACCAAGCAAAGCAATCTAGGTTATCAATAAGAAATTGAATAAGCTTTTTCCTGAGTTCGGGGTTTAATCCCGTTCCGAGGTATACCTTTCTCTTGGGAAGGTACTCGATCAATATAACCTGTTCTAGCTCTTCGACCGTTGATTTAGTAGCGTCAGAATCTTTGGGAATAATAAACGTTCGAGGGGTCAGAAAATCCTCCTCTTCTTCTTCTATCTCATGCTTCCCTTATTCGGTCGAGGCTGGTAGCTGTGATTGCTATTTGACTTCCTGTTTATCTTTGATGCTCGACCTTTCCGAGGTTGATAGTGTCGATATCGGTGTCATCTCATCGACTGCAAATATTTCCTTTGCAGCATGCTGCTCCCCGTATATTGTTTTTACACCGTCCGACGTCGAAAATTTTATCATTTGGTGGAGAGTCGAATGGACCGCCCTCATATTGTGGATTTAAGGACTTTCGAGCAGGGCATTGTACCTCATGTCGCCCTCGATTATGTGGAACCTGGTATCTTGAATGGTTCTGGCCACATTCACCGGTAGAATAATCTCCCCTTTAGTTGTTTCACTGGCCATGTTAAAGTCGTTTAAGACCCGAGCTGTGGGAACGATTTGATTTTGTAAGTCGAGCTGCTCTACGACCCTCAATCGAATGATATTCTCCGATCTACCTGGGTCCACTAAAACACGCCTAACTTGAACTCTATTTAATAAGATAGAAATTATCAAAACGTCGTTGTGGGGCTGAGAAATGCCTTCTGCTTCCTCGTCATTGAATGATAAAGTGCCTTCGGGCACATAATCTTGGGTTCGTTTTTCTCTAGTGATTGATACCTTAGTGCATTTAAATATGGGTCCCTGTGGAATGTCGATCCCACCGATGATAATATTAATGACATATTGGGGTTCCTCTTGTTCATTTTCTTGTTGGCGTCCCTTTCTCTGAAATGATTCTTGGCTCGATCGCTGAGGAACTCTCGAAGGTGGCCTTCATTGAATAGTCGGGCTACCTCCTCCCTTAATTGCCTGCAATCCTCGATCTTGTGACCATGTGTGCCATGATACTTGCACATCAAATTTGGGTTTCTTTGGGAAGGATCGGTTTGTATGGGTCTGGGCCACTTAGTATCTTTGATCCTTCCGATTGCCGATACAATGCCCGATGCATCGATGCTAAAGTTATATTCCGATAACCGAGGTGCTTCTGTGGGATCGGCATATTTGTCAAAACCACTTTTGCTCATAAGTCCCCGAGAATTCTGTCCTTGATCACTTCTTCAATCGTTCCGGGCGGAGTTGCATCCTAAACCATTGTATCTTCGATTTACGGTATATGGTCGATATCGGTCTCTGTTCAACTTTGGTTCCCTGTAGAAGTCCCTTGGGTTTTTAACTGTCGATCTGTTTGGATGTACTGAACCGGAAGGAGCTCCTAATTGGTCGTCCTCAACCCTGATCTTCGATTGATATCGATTGTGTACATCTGCCCAAGTTACAGCTGGATACTCGATCAAATTTTGTTTCAACTGACGTGATGCTACCGAACTTCGCTCGTTCAACCCTTGGGTGAAAGCTTGAACGGCCCAATCATCCGTGACTGGTGAAAACTCCATGCTTTCCATTTGAAATCGGGACACGGACTCTCTCAGCATTTCATTATCCCTTTGCCTTACCTTGAAAAGATCTGATTTCCTCGTTGCGACCTTTATGGCCCCGGCGTGTGCCTTTATGAAGGAATCTGCTAACATGGCAAACGAGTCGATAGAATTTGGTGGCAGGTTGTGATACCAAATCATAGCTCCCTTCGAAAGGGTTTCTCTGAACTTTTTCAACAGCACGGATTCAATTTCATCATCTTATAAATCGTTACCCTTGATGGCGCATGTATACGGCGTAACATGCTCGTTGGGATCGGTGATCCCATTATATTTAGGTATGCCTGGCATACGAAACTTCTTTCGAATAGGTTTCGGAGCCGCACTTGGAGGAAAAGGCTTTTGTACAAATTTCTTCGAATCCATCCCTTTCAAGATTGGTGATGCCCCCGGTATCTGATCAACTCGAGAGTTGTATGTCTCCACTTTTGTATCATTGGCTTAGATCCTCTTCTCCCCTGATTCAATTCTTTTGGTTAGCTCCTCGAGCATTTTCATTACCGCATGATCGGTCCTCGATTCGTTACCATTCGACCTTTCCGGTACTGGCTCGGTACGGTGAGCAATTTCCGATTCGACCCTATTCGAAGCTCTATTTTGATTTTGTAACTGAGCAATAGCGGCTTGCTGAGCCTGAAGCATCTCGAATATCACTTGGAGACTGGCTTCTTTGTCTCCTCTGCCATGTGTTCCTTGGCCACTAGATCGGCCTTCCCTGCGTACACTCCCATCGAGATTTGTGCCTAGATCCGCATTTAGGGCAATGTGTGAACTGACATCGACTGGGTTGGTAACCGGTGCTCCCCCGAGATGAGCCTGTGGCGCCTCGACTCCTGGAGCAATCACATTTTCGTTTTCACCATGGAATCCAAGGCCATTGTCACCGTGTGGATGCGTTTTGTGAGTTTGACATGTTTTAACCTGAAAGCAAAGATACTTGACAAGAACAAACGTAAAATAGTGTGTTTTACCAGAATCAGTACTGAACAATCACTATTATCATTAGCCCCACGATGGGTGCCAAACTGTTTGCCCTTAAAATTGAGTAACAATTAAACTTATATAGTGGTTTTAAGGATAAGTGATTTAACCCAGTACCAATTGATAAACAATGAATTAAATAGATAAATTGGATAATAAAATAAATCAAATCGGTCTGCGAACAGTGTCTCGACCTCGATTTGAGATAGTCTCGAGGTTAGTTAATAAGAACAATAGAGGAATGAACAAGAAGCGATGAACCGTGATGAACAATAAGTAAAACGAAGAAAGCAACGTATGTATATATTTTTATCAGTAAATGATCATGGCCTTACAAGTGAATGGGATCCCTCCTTTTATAACAGATGAATCCTAAATATGGTACAACTCTAATAATGGAAATAGATCTTATGATTGGCACTAATAACCTCCTTGATTTGATCTATTCCGGGATTCCCGCCGTGATCTTCTATCGGTTACTGATATCTCGCTATTCAGTATCTACGCCTTATCCGAAGTCAATCATGCTCGGACTCGATTGTTGTTGGCCTCGATCTCAATGAATCGCTTCGATCTCTAGGCTTGATATTTTATCTTCGAGCTTGAGCCTGATCTGTTATAAGGTTACCCTCGAAGCAACTCCCCTACCAACGAAATCGAATATGATCGATTTCGACCGTATACATTGTGTTATAAAACTCATAATAATATGGTAATCAAAATATCATTATTACTACAATTCGTTAAAATTCAAGGATTTCAGAATTCTTTTTTAAATTAAAAAAGAATAAGAAAGATGGATAGTGTTACGTCACAATTATTGCATAGGCCAAATGCATAGGTAGCCCCTAAACTTGTCCCCTTTTTTTATTTAAACACTTATTTTCTACGAGGTCTGCTTTCAGACCGGGCTAAGTCTTTAGGTTGTTTAAGTATGTTTGGGGCGGGGGCGGTTTGGTTTCAAGGCCCTCCCACCAGGAAGAAGCAGTTGTCATTTGAAAATAAAGGCTCTTCTCTTGTTTTACGAATCCTACAACTCTCTTTACTGAACGGTCTCCCTTCTATAGATTTGATTGGGATTGATTTTCAGGAAGCTAGTACCTATTGAACACCTAAACTCCTCGAGAAGTGTATCAATTAAGCACATTTTGCTGACATGGCAAAGTATGTGTTCTACACTCTCTTTGAGCCCGTACATATCAAAAAAATGGTTAATTAATTTTTTTTCTCTTTCTCGTCATCGTTATTTCTTTTCCACTGGTTTTATTTAAAGTCGTTTCTACCTTGCCGAAAATTTCTTGACCGGCGGCATAGCAACGAACAGAGTTTTTCTTTTTCCTCAAGATCATTTTTTTCTACCTTATAGGTATTTGGGATCAAATCCACGTGATATTATCCCATTGGTTTTCTTTCCAAATCAGTTGCCAGTGAAATGCACGCAACTAGCTCAAGTTTAAGTGGGCGTTTGGACACTTTTTGTTCTAATTGAAACACTTTTTGTTGAGTTTAAGTGCTCAATAGAAACTAGCTCAAGTTTAAGCGGGCGTTTGGACATAAGAATTGTAAAATTTCAAAATAAGAGGGAAAAAAAAATTTAAGTGAAAATGATATTTGAAATTTAAAGTTGTGTTTAAATATAAATATAATTTTGGATTGTTTTTGAAGTTTTATGAGTGATTTGAGTAAAAATTTAGAAAAACAGTTTTTTGTAGTTTTTCAAATTTTCAAAAAATTCTAAAATACATCTTCAAATGAATTGAAAATTTCATGAACAAACGCTGATTTCAGGAAAGTGATTTTTTTTTTTGGAAAAAGGGAAAAAATTTCTTATGTCCAAACGGGCTCTAAGTGTTTAGTGAAAAACGGGGACAAGTTTAGGGGGCTGCATATGTATTTGGCTATTTATCATTATTTATTTGAGCCTCTGATTTCTTGTTTCTTTCATTTCTTCAGCACTATTTTTTAAATCACTAGTTAAGCCAAAAAAACTAGGTCACGCCAAGTTTACAAAATGAAGAAACACGTATGGAATGTTGAAATCATCTCATTTTAAAAAAAAATAATGCAACAGTAGATAAATATACACTACCGTGACTTTCAATTAGCTTAAGCCTGTTCATCTTTCCTGCTCAATTGTATATTTGAAACATATGCATATCCTATCTATTAAAATTTCAAGTAAAGCAAACGGAGCAGCAAACTGGCATTTAAATTTCCTCTTCCTCAAAGGGGTCTTTTTCTGGATAATCTCCAATCTGCAATGCAAAATTTAGAGCTTGTCAAAAGGTCAGATCTAAGGTAATTTACAACACTACAACTCTTTTCACTTTTGCATCCCAAAATATTTTTCTAGGGGAGTCCGTCCGAGGCAAACAGCGATGCAGTTGCTTTCTGGTAGTCATTTATAAAATGAAATTTCAAAAATTGTAGTCTTAGACCAGCCAGACTAATTGAAGTCAACTACACACCCTTTTCTGTATCTCAAATGATCACAAAATTTAACAGTTAGCCAACCTTTACATTCTCCAATATAACTTGACTTCTATTTTATCAACTTCTTAAAACTAAAATGGTAAGCCATGAGTCCTGCATGTTCCTCATTAAATTATCAGTCATTTGAGTTAAAATAAACAACTTTTACTCTTCTTATCTTCATAGCATGCTCGCAAACGTGGACATTCAACTGGGGAACAAGATTGTATTTTATAGCTTGAATTGCATTCGACCATCCCATATAGCTAATGTTGAATGCCTAGTATTAACAACTGAGAATAATTTCTTCATTTTATAAATCATTAAAGGCACACCGGAATTGGATGTTTGTTTACAACATTCTATTCACAGCATCTCCAACTTCTCACATTATGAATATGCTGAAATCAAGATTCTATAACTTGTATATGGCATGCAGCTAATAACTTTACTTTTTGAAGGTAATAAGTGTAAATATATTCATCTCAAGAAAGATAGAAATATATCACATTTCAACCCAAACATGAAACAGATACAAGCAACATTAACTACTACAACAACAACTCAGTATAATCCACTAGTGGGGTCTGAGGAGGGTAGTGTATACGCAAACCTTACCTTTACCCTGGGGTAGAGAGTCTGTTTCTGATAGACCCCCGACTCCCTCCCTCCAAGAACTCTCCACCTTGCTCTTGAGGTGACTCGAACTCACAATCTCTTGGTTGGAAGTGGAGGGTGCTCACCACTAAAGCAACCCACTCTTGTCCCGGCAAGTATAATTCTTTTATCAGAACATTAACCGGCAAGTTTATTAGGGATTGGAATATGACAACGATACCCCTTAAACAAACCTTTACTTTGTCTGGGCGGACCATTGCACCATGAAGGGGAGGGCAGTCAAAGTAACGTTTCCCTTTCACCCTGTGAAACATATAAGAAGAATTTGGTTTAGATGCAGCAATTATTCTAGGAACCTTTTGTAACAGTTTCCTAAATATAGCATTTCTTCAGAAGTGAAATCACAAGTATGGAGTATCAGAGTCAAAAAGAGAACACTTGTGTGGTGTGCCAATACACAAGGCAAGCATTTCTAGAAATAGGAATCTGCAGCAATGGACCTTTAGAGAACTCTGGCCAAGCACTACACTTTTTAATGCAGCAGAGCAGATACATCATTTGCTGCTCCGGACGGGTGAGTTCCATATGACTTGTTACCTATCAATTGCTGTCCCATTATTTTAAAATTCCCAATTTTCTGTTGATAATTATTTTCTTCACACAAATGAAACTTATCCCGACCTCTTTTGAAGCAAGAGCTCACATAGATTATGCACCATCCGTGCTTTGATAGTAACTCTAAGTTATAACCCCATCAGAACTGGATCTATTCCATTCCTCTATATCTATCCTGTAGCACCCCCAATAGTTCAAAGGGTGAAGAATTGGCTAAAGTTTCTAAATTAAGCATTTGCGCAAACGAGCCAATACAAGCAAAGTCCCATACGATCTTTCACGGGTAGGCAAGTCATTCATAGGAGACATGCATAGTGCATGCTTCCTCACACACAGAGTAAACTCTCTACTGCTAGTTACTACCAATAAAATATATGTATTGCTACTTCAAACTAAGATTTAACGAGGAAGTTTGTGTTTCTGACATACATGCCGTCATGTTTTCCTGCAGGTTCATCAAACTGAACTCCAACCCAAAACCCAGGTGCAAGTGTTTCTGCCTGACCAACAAATTTGACCGTGCCTCTTCTCTCTCCAGGTTCCACTTCACATCTGTCCCATATCTGTGTTCACGAAAAAAACAAAATTGGATCCTAACGCTAAACGATTATTCTTCTGAGATAGAAAATGTTAAGTTGCAGAAAGAAAATAAAAGAAAGAAGTATCCAGAAGAACATAAATCCTGCACCACCACCGCGAAAAAAAATCCAAAAAAGGGAAGAGAAAAACATAAAGGAGAAGGAAGAATCTTAACAAATTTAACAACAAAAGTACCGTGTGTGAACTAAAGAACCTATCTGTTGTAACAATTTGCGAATTTATTCCATTCAGAAGTAGAAGCACCCGAGGTATAAATGGTTTTGTCATAAACATATCGATGACCTACCATCAAGTATCAGTAGTGACAACTATGAAATGAAAAGTAAAACTTACTACAGATTATGTATCTCCACCCTTAGTTACAAGTCAAACTATCAAAGATCCAATCAAAGAACAAAACTAATTTACAATAACTACCTAATTTATGCTAAGTTAAACCTTTGTCTTTCTATTTATTTGAATGTTTATATTTTCTAATTTGAGTTGGAGGCGCTTTAAGCCGCAGGAAAGTACATTGTTGCAAATTGTTTAAAGGACATAGGGATACAAGGAAATTTCTTGGGCTACTTAGGGCAGGTATATTACTCAACTATTTTATTTTGTATATAGCATCTTCTAGGACAATCAGCAAACGAATTCTTTGCTTCAGCAAGAGATAGCGTATATCAAAATAATGTACATAAAGGTAATCCTCAATAACTGCATAATTAAAAGGCTCACGTGAGAAAACTGAAGTATGGTCAAGAATGTATATATTACTTTAATATGATAATGCAATAGACATATTAAATAGTTGGAAAGAGAACTGCAATAGAGAAAGATCAACTAACCTTAATATCTGCACAAACTTCTCCCATATAGTTGTCAGATATCTGTTTGAAAAAGCAAAGTGAGGAAATGAATAAAAGATCTAGCATTACAAAATATAGCAACATGACACAAAAATGAAAAGTAAATAGTACTTTCAGCGACTGGTATTGTTCAGCACCAAAAAGCTCTTCCCAAAAAGAAGTAGCGAGGCAAGGAACTTGCAATATATTAGTGACAGTGATTTACTTAAACTTTGCAGTAGTTCCATAACTAGCTGATTTCCCTTCCAAACATCCACTCTAGATGCCATCCCGATTTGGTATGATGCAAAAAAAATCCCCTTCATTTAACTAAGAATAAACCGGGTTATCCTGAAGAGGCGGGTATAGCAAGATATGTGGGAGGGAAAGGGTGAAGTGTGAGGATAGAGCTTGTCAAGTGAAAGTGGTTGCTCTGAAGATGGGAGTGGGAGAAAATATGCTGGGAAAAGGGTAATTTTATTATCATTGTTGCATAGGCTGTTGCCAAATATATGTACAAAATGACCTATCAACATAGTAACAACCGTTTTCTCTTACTCTCCGCCATATGTTATTGGGGGTAATATAATCAAATTGGAGGATTAATTTGGAGAGAAAGTTGAAATTTTTGAAACAATGTAGCTATTTAAGGTCCTAACAAATAACATAGTAAACTAAAGGGGAGATCCACGATATTGTTAAACTTGAGCTAGTCTAAGTAATTTACCATAAGTTTTTAACTTTTTACAGTAGAAAACTTACTTTAGATTCTTGACCAGGCGGTTGCTTAAGCGGCAATGTTTCCTTGAATTTTCTGAAAGTACCTAGAAAATCGTAACAAACTTGTCAACTCTAGGATCCATCCCAGGAAGAAAAGACAAAGAGCATGGGAGGTCACTCCATGAGCCATCATGATTCATGTGGTTCTTGTGGAAAGAGAGAAATATCAGAGCTTTTAAGGGGACAAAAAATAAGTGTAGGTATAGCCTTTTATACTTAGTCTCTGGCACCCATGTAATCCCTGTTTGCTTACAAGATCGTGTCATTTGTAGAAAACCGTATTATCCTGTAGGGTATCTATATTTTGGTACACAACTTATATGTGCAGGTATTTCCACATTAATAAAAAAGAATTTACTTTATCAAAGAAAAAAGATATTTGCTAGCATATGGCAGCATTTGGTCCTCCGATAAATCATGTTAATTTAGCGACTGAAGACATACTATAAGCAATCGAGAAACTGTCATTTGAATGTACTTTCTTTTACAAATGGCAAAAAGAATTACAGTCATACGGCTACTTCTTTGCATCTCCAAAGAGACTGAACATGCCTCCAATTTAACTTCATGGACCATGCAGTTGGATGTTAAGACACAAGTCAACAAGTCAAAAATTACAAGAAAAGTATCATTTGTCAGTTAGGAACAAGATTAATTAGATAAAACTTTGCACCCTAGCATAATAGCAAAGCAAAAGATGTTTGAATGGACAAAAAATCTTGCCATAAAATCTATAACCTTTTTTTTGGAACAGGTAAAGTGTGCTATAATATATATAATCCTTTGTACCGTGTGGCTCCTTCCCGGTTAAACCATAATAGGTAACTTGTCATGTAGAATTAGAAAGATGTCCATAGTGACTTACGTTAGAAAAATGGAGGAAAACCAATGATCTAAAGAGTGTGTGTTCTATAGTCATCTTAGAACCACAAGGGAAAGGAACTGAAGCAAATTCAGGATGATACACTGTTTTCTAAAGGCTCTACTTTTCACGGAATTATTTTTCAAATTATGTACGGTGCATCAAGGACGACTATGGTAAGGTTCTAGTAGAAGAAGCGTGTATCAGGAGTACTTCCATAGGCTCTTGAACGAGGGAGGGGAAAGGAACATCGTGCTAGGTGAGTTGGAGGATTCAGGGAGTCAGAGGGATTTTGGGTTTTGTAGGCCTATTAGGAGCGTAGAGGTGGAGGGGGCGATGCGGAAGATGAGCAGGAGTAAGGCTACTGGGCCAGATGAGATCCCAGTGAAAATGGTAGTTGGTCGGGCAGGCTTGGAGTGGCTTACTGGTCTGTTTAATGTCATTTTCAGGACGAAGAATATGCCAGAAGATTGGCGGCAGAGTTTGATGATCCCGTTGTATAAAAACGAAGGTGATATCCAGGTTGTAACAACTATAGGGGTATCAAGCTGTTGAGTCATACTATGAAAGTATGGGAGAGGGTGGTGGAGATAAGGGTGCGACGTAGTGTTACTATTTTCGAGAACCAATTCGGATTTATGCCGGGACGGTCGACGACAGAAGCCATTCACCTTTTGAGGAGATTGGTGGAGCAGTACAGGGAGAGGAAGAAAGACTTGCATTTGGTATTCATCGACCTAGAGAAGGCCTATGATAAAATCATATAGAGATGTTTGGAGGCTAGTGGTGTCCCGGTGGCATACATTAGGGCGATTAAGGACATGTACGAGGGAGCGAAGACTCGGGTGAGCACTGCGGGAGGAGACTCGGATTATTTCCCAGTGAAGATGGAGTTACACCAGGGATCGGCTCTTAGCCCATTTTTGTTTGCTTTAGCGTTAGATACACTGATGCGTAACATACAAGGGGGTGCCATGGTGTATGTTATTTGATGGTGACATAGTCCTAATTGACGAGACACTAGGCAGAGTTAATGCTAAATTGGAAGTTTGGAGACAACCGCTGGAGTCTAAAGGTTTCAAATTGAGTAGGTCGAAAACTGAGTACTTGGAGTGCAAGTTCAATGAGAGGATGCATGAAGAAGAAGTGGAAGTGAGGATTGATACTCAGGTCATCCCTAGAAGAGACAGTTTCAAATATCTTGGGTCTATTATTCAAGGCAACGGGGAGATTGACGAGGATGTTACTCATCGTATTGGAGCGGGGTGGATGAAATGGAGGCTCGCATCGGGGGTTTTGTGTGATAAGAATGTGCCACCTGAACTTAAGGGCAAGTTCTGTAGAGTGGTGACTAGACTGACTATGTTGTATGGAGTTGAGTATTGGCCCGTCAAGAAGTCGCATGTCCAAAAAATGAAAGTAGCTGAAATGAGGATGTTGATATGGATGTGCGGACATACTAGGAAAGACATGATTAGGAATGAAGTTATTAAGGACAAGGTAGGTGTGGCATCTGTGGAGCACAAGTTGTGGGAATCAAGGTTGAGGTGATTCGGGCATGTGAGGTGGAGAGACATGGATGCTCCAGTGAGGAGGTGTGAGAGGTTGTCCATGGCGGGTCTGAGGAAGGGAAGGGGTAGGCCTAAGAAGTATTGGAGAGAGGTAATTAGGCAGGACATGTCATTGCTTCAGCTTACCGATGACATGACCCACGATAGGAAGGTGTGAAGGTCGAGGATTACGGTTGTAGGTTGACAGATAGTAGTGTGTTCCTCCTAGGCCATTCAATAGTACTAGGACTATTTTTGTAATTTCCTATTAACGGTTCTTTATTACGCATGTTGTGGCATTCGCACACGTTACTATGTTACATTGTTGCTAACATTCTTTGCTATTTAGTGCTTTATTTTCATTGCTTCTTGAGCCGGGGGTCTATCGGAAACAGCCTTTCTATCTCTATGAGGTAGGAGTAAGGTTTGCGTACACACTACCCTCCACAGACCCTATTTATGGGATCAAACTGGGTTTGTTGTTGTTATTTTTCAAATTATGCGATCCACTAACAAACCCAATTGATGGGGGAAAAAATTGAGGAGTAAATTGATTTAAACTGGCATTGTATTCGAGTTAAGGAGAAATCAAATTAGAGAAGACATTTTTAAAGCAAATATGCCAAGTGAAACTCGTCAGCAATTACCACCAAGTTTCCCATAAGCCTCGTCAGAGATAGTGTACTTATCCACAAGTGATGTGTCCTCGAGCCAACCTCCAGAAGTCACTGATGATGGATCAAGATCAATGACATGCAGGCAATAACTGCAAATGCAGACTGGTTAATCCGGATATATATGTCCGTATTAGCTCAAGTTCTTTCTGCACAAAATGCAGACAGGACATGATATCAATACATAATACAGAGAGTTCGTTATCTAGAAAAGGACAATTAAGATATACTACGGCTTCGGATAGAAAGAGTTTTACTAACCCGTCCAATGGGGAATAAAAACCAAGGGGTCTCGCATTATCACTTAGGACTGAGATTTTAGCACCAATTTCATCATAGAGCTCTAGGGACATTGAATTGACGGAAGTACCACACTTTTTCCAAAGCTTCTCTTTAACGGCTTCCACTGTCATCTGAAAACAAAGAGACATTGGACTGTAATGCACAACACAAGTGGTGGCGGATCTAGTGCATAGTTTATAGGTTTCTCGGAACCTAGTAACTTTTCTGCAGACCCTGTATTTCTATTAAGAAGTCCACTAAATATTTATTAGTTTTGTTTACTGTGAACCCAATTACTACATTAATCACTGTAGGAACACATAAACTTTAAATCTTGGATGCTCCTACAAGTACATCCAAAATGAATTACGAGCCTCAAAAGTTACTTCTATTATATCAAAGATGAGCCATTTGAAAGTCTAACTAATAAACTCATCGAGAACAGATGTAAAGCCGATCATATGTCTTTGCAAATTTGAAATTTAAGTTCCAATTATATAATTGATCTAATTATAGTAATAGCGGAACCTGCATAACCGATAATATTACTAAGCAAAGGTGAGAAACTTGCGAGTACCTGAAGTGAAAACCGGATTTCAGGGGAAAAGCTCTTAATATTGGAGTGAGTGACCCGCACAAGTACAGATTCATCTCCTTCAATCTGTAACCGAGATCCCATTATCCTTCAATCTATAACGAGAGTAAAGCTCACAGGTGAAAATCAGATAGACCAAAATCAAATACACAAACCAACCTTGAGTATTAGAAAACATCATAAACCCGATTATTACCCGAAAACTGCCGTTAGAATGCTGATTTTAGCCCTCTCCACAACACACCAAAAGATATGCAGAGAGAGAAAGCGAGTGAGGGGGGACACTGATTTTGGAGAGAGAAAATCAAGGAATATGAAAAAAGGGGAGTTAGCTCACCTCGTGTACAGCATCTCTCCAGTCGTAACAGTTTATATACCATTCAAACAATATCAAAGCGGTAAAAGCGTCAATTAGCACATTAGGCCCAAACACGTCAATAAATCACAAAAAGCGAAGTATAATAGTTATTCTAAACTCGAATTCTGAACTCTGAACCAGAAATTTTTTGGGTTCGATCCCAGCAGAGTCGCCAGAGATGTCACACCTCTTTTTTCAGAAGGGATAGAGGAGTTTTTCCAATTAAAGTGATATTATTCGAAATGGGATTATTTAATTAATCAGAGTAGCCACTTGGAATAATTATTATGGTGTCCCAAGTCACTGGTTTATTTTAAAATCTCAACTCGAGGAAATTGACTCTATTTATGGTCCGCGAACACACAAGACCATGTAAGAAATTCTGTTAACCCGGGAGAAGGTGTGAGCCACTCCCGAGTTCCGTGGTTTTAGCACGGCCGCTTAACAATTAATACTTAGCCTAATTATCTGATTTATTATATGTTTTAAGACTTATGTGTATTTTTACCTTCTAACCGCTTTTAATTATTTTAAAACAATTATAGAGTTTATTTAAACAAGCCACGGGGTCGCGCACTTGTTATTTTTATACACATTGCAAATCACGCAACGTGAAACGCACCCGTGATTCACAACATGTTCATTTTTATTATTTGAAATTGCGGTCAAATCGCGTGAAACGCGCACTTGAGTTTGGAGTTACGCATTATGATTATGCCACGGGAACCGTACCCATAATCACGATGATTTATTATTATTCGCGCCTAAAGCAACTAGCGCATTTGAATTATTTATCTTTTCTAAGTTTGGGATAGCATGTGGAAGTTCACATATTATGGAAATACAGTTGTGGGGGGTTGTCAATTCCTATGACCACTTTCGATTTTATGTCCATTCGAATACAGCTCATTGCAACTAGGGAAATGGGTGAATTAAACAAAATGAAACGTGAGCCAAGATCGAAATAAGTCAAATCGTAAACTCTACTGCCCAGCTTAGTGTTTTTGCATAAGATCGAATCATTAGACATTAGAAGAAATTCAAAGTAGCAAATATGAGTAAAAAAAAGTTGATTCAGGGCTTTTGGAGACCGATTCGAGAGGCAAAGGCACTTTGGAGTAGAGTTTTGCGCGATTTGAGGTAAGTAACAATTTTAAATCTGGTCCTGAGGGTATGAAACCCCGGATTATTGTATTATGTGAGTATTTTGGAGGTGACGCGCATGCTAGGTGAGGGACGTGTGGGCGTGCACCGTGGGAATTGGGACTTGGTCCATTCCGTGAAACTAGAAAGTTGAGTAAGCTTGTTGTTAGCTATGTGTCCTTTTCTGTGCTATAGAAATTTGATAGTGAATCATGCTAGAAATCATGCTTAGGCTATGTGTTGGTACTGTAAAGACACCAGTGGTCGTGATACCTGTTGAACTTTCCTGCTTATTGTTACTTGTACTCAATCGTAGTATTACTTGCATATTATACCTCAATGTGATGACCCGCCATGTCACCATGCCACATAGGTACTATTTAACATATATGAATACCATGTAGAAGCTTACATAGGAGGAAATCTAGTATTTGTGAGAAGATTCTAGAGAAGTATGGACATTTCTTTTGGAAGACCCTAGATGCCTATGAATTTGCTAGGAAAGTCCTTGGAATCTTCTAGACTTGTAGAGAATTCTAGATAAAGCCCTTATCTTGTAAATATTAAAGACTTGTGTAATAATTAATATTTACACACTAACCCCTAGGAGACTAGTATATAAAGGAGGGCATTCATTTGTATTTTATCAAGCAAACAATTCAAGTTCTCTCTAATACAAAGCTTCCTTTAACAATTCTCTTGTGTTCTTTCTAACATTCTCTTAACTATCTTGAGTGTAGTAAGGCTGACTTGGCATAGCAAGAACGTGAGCAAGTTGTGCAAGATCGTGAGTGAGTTGTCATGTGCCGCACGTGTACTTAGTTAAATAATAAGGACGTGACAACGTGGTATCAGAGCAAAGGTTGCAACTAAGGGAATGGCGAACGACGGAGAAATTAAAGCTGCCCACAACCAAGCCAACGCCATCCAAGATGCTGCTAGCAAGAGTGGCCGTTACAAAAAGAGGAATGTCAGCAAGGAGGTGCCTCCCGAGGTTGTGTCAAACGAAGGGCTTACATCCCAAGAGCCATCTGCCACTGAGGCGAGCGAGGATGAAGTGGAGGTCCTACCCGAGGATGTCTCGCTCGGTAAAGAGTGGGTGATGAAGATGAACGTGGGGATGGATGCCGTAGAGATCTTTGGCCAATGATTGGGGAAGGTGGAAGGCACCCTTAGCGTTCTTGAGGGGCACACTCTTGAAGAGATTGAGAGTATCCGAAATGACTTGGAGGGACGTACACAGACCGAGATGGAACTAAGGCAAATCATCACTGCCTTAGAGTACAGACTCATGGAGGCTTTGAGTACTATCGATGCTATGAAGGCAAAGATAGAGTCACTCGAGGAGCATGTTAGTGCTGGCGTGACCGAGGTAGCCAACAATGTTGTGGTGACGAGGGAGGCCAAGATCGAGGCTCACATACCCCCGGTGTTCAAAGGTGTTCGTGATGCACAAGAAGTGAAAAACTTCCTTTGGCACTTGGAGAACTACTTCAGGCACGGCAAAGTGAGGGACGACGAGGCCATGATCAACACTGCAGTGTTGTACCTCTCAGAGACTGCCATGCTATGGTGGAGAAGGAAGATGGCCGACGTGGATAAAGGTCTATGTACTATTAGCACGTGGGATCAGTTCAAAGCTGAGTTCAAGCGACAATTCTTTCCAAACAATGTCTTGTACGAGGCGTGGCGCAAGCTTAGGGAGTTGAAGCAAACAGGAAGCATACGTGTCTATGTCAAGGAGTTCACTACCCTTATGCTTCAAATCCCCAACCTGACCAATGATGACTTGTTGTTCCACTTCATGGACGGGGTGCAAAATTGGGCTAAACAGGAGTTGCAACACCGGCAAGTCAAAGATATAGACCAAGCCATAGTGGAGGCCGAATCATTGATGGATTCCAGGCATGACAAGCACGACAAAGGCAAAGGCAAAGAATCAAAGGTTAACAATGTCAAAGGTGGGGGAGATCGTGGCAAAGGCAAGGAGATACAACAACAATACTATAAGACTCAAGATTCCAAAAAGTCGAGTGGCCGTCAGGGCTACGCCTAGAAGAAGGCGCAGGCCGAGAAGAAGGGATGTTACATATGTGGAGGGCCGCACAGCTTCAGAAATTGTCCCGACCTAAAGAACCTCAACGACATGGTCTGTGAACGGAAGGAGCAGCCGCAAGGAGAGAGTTCGGGAACCGCACAGTTGGGTATGATCGGATTATGTGGTGTTGTCACAAAGCAAGCTATCCAACCTACCGAGAATGGCAATTAGTATGTGGATCTCACCATCAACAACGAGCCTCCTCATGCAATGGTGGATACTGGAGCAACTCATAATTTCATTACTGAGGCTGCCGTAACGAGACTAGAATTGAAGCTTGCTCCAACCAACTCTCGCGTTAAGACTGTGAATATCGAGGTACAGAATGCTCGTGGGGTAGCTAATAGAGTTGGTGTCAAATTGGGAACTTGGAAAGGTATGACAAACTTTACCATAACCGCTATGGATATCTTTTACATCATACTGGGGCAAGAGTTCTTTAGACATTGTCATACTTTGATCGACCCCTACCTCCAACATCTCTTGGTTATGGAGCAAGAAGGATCTTGCATGGTACCTACAGTGACTATGCCACACGGACAGATCCAAGCACAACTCTCAGCTATGCAGGTTGTCAAGGGGATCAAGAAGGGGGAACCGACGTTTGTGACAATCATCGCAAGTCTGGAGGAAGACAAGAGTTTTCAAGAGACACTGCCGCCTTGCATAGAGAAATTGCTTGAGGAAAACAAAGACGTCATGCCCGAGGAGTTGCCTAAGCACTTGTCGCCTAGGCGAGAGGTGGATCACAAGATTGAACTGGAGCCAGGGGCTAAGCCACCTATATTTTCCCCATATTGTATGGCACCGCCTGAGCTAGAGGAGCTCAGGAAACAGTTGAAAGAGCTTCTAGATGCTTGTCACATTCACCTATCAAAGGCACCTTTCGGCGCACCAATATTGTTCCAAAAGAAGAAGGATGGATCATTGCGCTTGTGCATAGACTACCGAGCACTTAATAAGGTCACACTGAAGAATAAGTACCTGATCCCGCTCATTACTGACTTGTCCGATAGACTTGGGCAAGCCAAGTACTTTACCAAGGTGGATCTTCGCAAGGGCTACTACCAGGTTCGCATTGCAGAAGGGGATGAGCCGAAGACAATATGTGTGACGAGATATGGAGCCTTTGAGTGGTTGGTGATGCCCTTTGGCTTAACCAATGCACCAGCCACATTTTGCACCCTTATGAACAAGAGTTTTCATCCCTACCTTGATCAATTCATGGTAGTCTACCTAGACGACATATTCATCTACATCAACACCTTGGAAGAGCATATGGAGCACTTAAGGAAGGTTTTCCAAGTCTTGTGGGAGAACGAGATATACATCAAGAGGGAGAAATGCGAGTTTGCACAATCAAAGGTGCACTTCTTAGGCCATGTTATTAGCAATGGCGAGCTACGCATGGACGAGGATAAGGTACGTGCTATCCAGGAGTGGGAGGCACCTATAAAGGTAACTGAGTTGAGATCCTTCCTTGGCCTTGTTAACTACTATCGCCGATTCATCAGTGGCTACTCAGCAAAAGCTGCACCATTGACTGAGTTGCTAAAGAAGAACAAACCATGGGTTTGGACGGAGCATTGTCAAAAGGCATTTGAAGGCCTTAAGGCAGCTGTAACATAGGAGCCAGTCTTGGCGCTTCCTGACTTTGCCAAGACATTTGAGGTGCACACAGATGCCTCAGACTTTGCTATTGGGGGTGTCTTGATGCAGGATAAGCATCCCATAGCGTTTGAGA